CTGGTGGCATGATTTACATACGTCTTGGTGATAAATAATAATAGAAAGGTCCTTATATATTTATCTTAATATTTTTAGTGTCACTGACTATTATATGTCTTCTTTTAATGGGATTTCTAAAGATATTTCTCTACTACTCTAAATGACTGTAGACACATATACAAAGCTGCTTAATTTCCTGCAACTAAGTTAAAATAGTGAAGTTTTATGTAAACTACTTTATTCTTGGAGGTGTCAGAGAACATCAGGTATCTGGATTCTTGAAAGTTCTTAGAGATTTACCCAGAATAACATCTACATTTGGGACAAACACAGGTATAGTCATTGGGAGATAAAATCTCTCCTCAACACTCACCTCAGAGCCTTAGCTGCATCCTTATTTCAGAGAGGATAAATCAGAGGATTCAGAGTGGGAGTAATGATGCTATAGAACACAGAACCAACTTTGTCTTGCAGTGGAGTGCGCTGGGACCTGGGCCTCATGTATGAGAAGATGCAGGCACCAAACCAGAGAAAGACAACAATGAGGTGGGAGCTGCAAGTGGCAAAGGCATTTCTCTTACTCCCAGCTGAATGCATCTCAATGACACTGTGCAGGATGAAGCCATAGGATGTAAAAATCAGGATGATGGGGAGGAGGAGAAGCATGATGGTGCTGCTGTACACTGTGGACTCATAGATAGTGATGTCAAAATATACCAACTTCACGACAGCTGGATACTCAAAGTAGAAGTGGTGTATTTTCCAAGATCCACAGAAGAGAAAGTGCATCAAGATGACTGTGTGAATTAGGGAGTTCAGAGATGCCCCCAACCATTACATGAGGGCCATCATCAGTCCCACCTTCCTGCTCATGAGCACAGTGTAACACAGAGGATGACAGATGGCAACATACCTGTCATAGGACATGAGAGCTAGCAGAAGACACTCAGCGCAACCCAGAGACAAATAGAGGAAGTGTTGGTGGCACAGCCCACAAAGGAGATGGACTTGCTGCCAAACAGGTAGTTGGTAGCCATCTTGGGGATGGTTGTGGAGATGTGCATCAGGTCCATGAGGGAGAGCTGGCTGAGCAGGAAGTACATGGGGATGTGAAGCCCATGATCCACACAGATGAGGAGGATGATGAGGGTGTTGCCACTCAGTGCAACCACTATGGTCAGGCAGAAAAGGAAAAGGTGGGTTGGGGAGTCATCCAAGAGCCCTTCAAGGATGCAGTCTGCAAGAGACATCTGATTACTCAGCCACATGGTCCCTTCTCAGTCCCTGGGGAAACAGGGAATGGAGACAAAGTGTGATGCCAGAAATATGGGATCCTGTGTACAAGGCGATAAGCACTTTGATCCAATAAAACATTTGTGAAGAGATTTTTCTCTATTTGTAATTATCCAGCAGCTGAAATTGTTGAAATTCAATTTTTTCAAAACAAGAGAAACCTAAAATTGTCATCATGATCATGGTCATTTGAAATTCCAATCCTCTATTAAAGGCCAGAATTTATGTCTCCTCTTACTAAATATAGGCATATGTGTGTAATCATATGTATGATTTGTGTTAGTGTGTGTCTGTGTTTGTATGATTGTTAGATTTTGTTTCTTATTTTACCAGGCAGGTTCTAACAAGAGCAGCTGAACCACTAAGACATTTCTATTTAATCATGTAATTGTTAAGTTTTGCATTACAGAACTTTGGCCTTATGACATTGTAGAAGTTGTTAAGAAATTGGTGTACTGCTTTCATGTTTAAGTCTGATGTGGTAACTTTAAGTCTACAGGACAAGCAGTAGAAAGGGAATATAGTACAAAGCAGGACAGACAAAGACAGACTAAATCCAAAGGCATGAGCTGTGACCCCACAAGAGAAAACAAAAAAACAAACAAAAAAAGAGTCAGGTCTGCTTGCCTATGGAATTAGGCACTGGGTTTTTTTGTTTTGTTTTGTTTTGTTTTGTTTTGTTTTGTTTGTATTGGCTCTTTTGAATTCTACAAAATATTTGGGTTTCTTTTAACATAATTAAAAAGCATAAAATAGGCCCTTATCCCCATACTTCCCTTTTCCCTCTCCTCCTCCCTTCCTCTGATCCCTTCCTCTACTCTGCTGATCTGCTATTTATTTATAGTTTTTATTAGTTACTTGTGGATATACATACAGATGAGATCCATATGGTATGTTCATACAGGCACATGAAAATTTAGGTCAGATTTCTAATGAAGCTGAATGCACACCCCTAGCCCAGAATTCCAAGAGCCTAAAGGAGAATCCTGGGGAAGGTAGAGCAACTGCAGGCCCAGCCACTGCTCCATACCAGTGAGGTGTGAGCCAGCAGACCAGCAACAACGTATTAATACTACATGATGACTGCTTCCCTTCTGCCCTCTAATCTCCCAGGAAGCTCCTCTAAGACCCACCTTAACTAGATATGATGGATTAGAAGAAATTTGGTGAGATGTCGTTCATCCTAGCCAACCTCACATATCACAAAATCACTACAGTCCATCTTCTACCAATTTGGCAGACATATATATCTCCTTCAGTCAGGTTAACCCCCAAATACAAAAATGATACATGTGTAACTAAATACAATACATCCATCATGAAGGCAAACACATTAACCCTTTCTCCAGGAGAAAATCCAAAGTTCTTTATTTCGCCTAGGGGAGATATTCATAACTCTGATATATGTGTCCCTTTTAATATCCTGGAACTTCAAAATTTTCTGGATGATTTAATGAAAAATATTCTTATGGAAACTGTAGGAAGTCACACCGGCTCCAAAGATGGCGCCGACTGTGCTTCTCTTCCCGTACTAACTTCCCCATGCCCTGAGACACTGGTGGGAAGAGCCGCCCAATGGTGAGCCCTGCTGACCACCATGATCCTTACCCACCAATCAGAAAGTGCCCTGTGCCAATGCTCTGCACTGTTGAATGGCTCCTGACTATATAAATGTGGAAAGCTGTTCCTTAATAAACAGGTACTTCTCTGATGAGGAGCCTTGTCCAGTCATTCTTTCAGAAACAACAAAGAAATACTCATTACTACCCCTCATCGGATAGATCTTCTTATCCAAAAAAGGGTTAACCAGTACTTTGGATATCAACCCCTGTTTCTTCAATCAGCCCTGGCATCTTCCCAATAGATCCATGAACAAACTGGATATGGCATCAGGGGTAAAGATTATTCCAGGATTCAGCAAGATGGATGTACACTCACCAAGGTCAATCTGTCTGAAGCACTGCTGAATACTCACTACTAAGAGCAAAGACCAATCTGAGTTCCCAACATCGCACCATTCCCTGGGATGATCAGCCAGCCACTCCATAGCACATTGATGATATTGGACCACATTCAACATAAAAAGGACACTCTTTTTTTCCCTGAAATGCACACTCACTCTGGGTATGGATTTTGCTTCCTCACCTGAAGTGCTGCTGACAGAACTACCATCTCTGGACTCACAGAATGCTTTGTTCACCATAAGATTATTCCACGCAGTATTGCTCCTGATCAAGGAGATTGATTCACAGCAAACAAGTGTGAAATGTGGCCTGTGTTCATGGGATTTGTTATACTTAGCATGGTCCTCCAACTTCCTAAAATGTAGAATCTGATAGAATGGTGAAATACCCTTGTAAGACTCTGCTTCAAGCAACACCTAGTTGGAAACATCTCTCATTGCTGGGGAAATGTCCTCCAGGGTGTGATACATGCTCCACGTCTGCATCTAATTTATGGTACTGCTTCTCCCATAACAAGAATTCATAGGATCAAACCCCAAGCATTCAATGGATAGAAATGAGAGTGTGTTCTCTCCCTATAACATTGATGTCTATGACCCACCAACATTATTTGTTCCTGCACTTTTCAGTTCTGCTGCTTTAGAAATCTCTTGGCTACAAAGGGAGAGACTCTTCTACCCAGACACAAATTGATTCCATTTCTGAGAGTTGAGGTTGCCCTACTACCACTTTAGGATGCTCATTATAGCTGAATCAATAGGTGAAGAAGAAGGTCACTCTGTGGCATGGAGTGATTGATTCTGACTAGGAAGGGGAAACTGAGTTGCTACTACACAATACAGAGAGGAAGAGCAAGTGTGACATAGGACAGTTTCTCGGTGCCTCTTCGAATTCCCAGGTCCTGTGATGGAGGGCAATAGGAAACTAAAGCCCAAGTCAGGTCACACTGAAAAGGGCTCATATCCTTCAGAGATGAAGGTTTGGGTCACCCACCTGACTAGGAACAATGACCAGCTGTGAACCAAGGCAGTATGGACTGCGGAGAGAAATAGGATAGTTATAAACACCAGTAATGACCATGTGGACAATCCTCAGGAATACGGACTGCCATACTTTTGCATTTCTTCTTAATGCTAATAAGAATTTGTATATTTATATTACACAAAATAAGTGTTTATTTCATTGTTATCCTCTTATCAAACATGAGGTGTGAATAATACCTAAACTCATATCTCAGTATTTAAGTAACTGGATATAAATGAAGGAGTATGAATCAGTAGAAACAGAATAAATTTCACATAAAATACAAAAAAAAGAAAAGGATTTTTTTCCCTTAATGAGGAAAGGGTTGTATATTTTATATACTTTTCTTGGGAAAGGTTGACAATGTCTTAGGTTATCCATAGAATAGTCATATCAGATTAGGTAGAAGAATATTTTATGTTGTCTTTATTTGAATAATGAGCAAAATTTTTTAAAAATGCATGAGTGCTCTGTTGACACAAAACGAAGCAACTATACCTGTGTCCTGGGTAGATTTGTGAGTCAACAGATTACATAAAATGCAGACAAAACTAGGTTTTTCACATTGATTCAGCCACACTTGCGAATCTGCCCTCTCTCCAGTTCTCCCCAAAACACTAGTCAGAATGAGAAGTTGATCTCCATGGGGAAATTAGACTCAAAAAAGTCACAAACTAAGTAGAGCTTTCTATCACTTCTTATGTCTTACCTCCTAAATATCTTCCTATACTTTCACAGATTCTGAATCACTGATGTACACTAACAGGAAAGAACCACCACCATTGAAGCAAGTGATCATGACAATTATAAGGGTGAATACCATTAATTAAAAATAATTATGTGAGTATAAAAAATAAACTTCAAAAATAAAAGCAAAAAATATAGGACTTAACGCTTTCTGATCAAATTTCACTCTACCAGTAAAAAACAAGTTCACATTTATTTTTCTTCTGCCCTAGGGTAGCTCTAGGATTATAGTGACAGTCGTGTCACACTGTTACTTCATGCTCAGCTTCTGTGGACTAAGAGAACAATTTCAACCCTGGCTCCCCTGATTACTCCTGTTGGGAGTGGCCTCGGCTCCAAAGACTAACTTCCCCATCCTCCGAGAAGAGCCGTCCAATGGTGAGCCCTGCTGGCTCACATGATCCTTACCCACCTATCAGACTAGCCTTGCTGGATCACATGAATCTTACCCACCAATCAGAAAGCACCCCATGCCAACTGTCAAATTATTAAACTGTTATACTGTCATAACTGTCAAACCATCCCCAGTTCTATAAATATGCAGAGCTGTTCCTCAGTAAATGGGCATTTTCTCCGATGACGTGCCTTTTTTGTTCTTTCATTGGTGCCGAAACCTGGGAGAGGGAATGCCTCACTGCTCGAGGGACCCCTCTCTCAAGGCTTGCCGTCCTTGTCCACTCTTTTTGAGTGCTGCTACTACTCACACAACACCAGCTCTTCAGTAGGTGAGTTTCCCTATCAGGTATCCAACTTCAGATGGGCTATATGCAGGGGCTTTGACCATGATCATCCAGCAAACCTCTGATGCCCAATCTGGAGGAGAGAAAGCACCCCACTACAACCTTCAGGGTCATGGTGGACTCTCTGGAACCTGGTTCATGAGCGTGAGGTCCTGAGGATTGGAAGAACAGGCACTCCTCTCTCTCTCTCTCTCTCCCTCCCTGCAGACTCCCCCTTATTAAATTCTGCACACAAGATTGGCCTTACTATCAATTAGACAATCAAAGTCAATGGCCCCCAGGAGGATCCCTGGATCCCGCAATTCTCAGAGATCTGTTTAACTTCTGTGAGCGCTCGAAAAAGTGCAAGGAGATCCCCTATGTTGAGGCTTTTTCTCTTCTTAGCTCTCACCCCGACCTATCCAGCAGATGAATCCCCTCCCTACCCACCTCCCGCATCAGCTCTGTCCAGCCCCTCAGGTGCTCCCCCTGACTCAGCTGACACCTTTATTCCCCCCAAACTGGGTCCCACTCCCTAGTCCCACAAACCATGGCCCCCTTAAGAGGTTGCTGGACATGAGGGCATTATCTGGGTGCATGTCCCATTCTCTATGAATGACCTCACGCAACTCGAGCGAAGGTTGGGCTCATTCACCACAGAAGAGAGTTTCAGTGGGTCTTCTAGGCTTATAGCCTCACTTATATGTTATTGGTTAATACTCTCCTTCTTGAGGAACGTACCAGATACTGGGAACTTGCCAGAGCCCATGCGGACGAAACTCACTGAGTTAATCCCAATCACCCACAGGGGCCATTTGCTGCCCCAAGGTGGCATACAGAGTAGGGACCGATTCTCTGCATGTATTATTGTGGGGCTCAATTTCCAAAAATTACAAGAGACCTCATTGGAATTTCTGGATCGGCTTATGAAAGCCCTTCAGCAGTAACCTAGATCCCCAAACCCCAGATGGCCATCATGTCATGTCCTTGTGACATATTTCCTCTTGCAGAGCTACCCCCCGACATCCAGGCCAAACTAAAAAAGCTTGAACAAGGCCCTGCCACCCCCCAGACTGAGAAATTTTAGATGCTTGCCCAGGCCCTGCAGGGTGCTTCCTTGGGTCGCTGCCCATCACTGAAATCCCCCCTGGGTGCCTGCTTCAAGTGTGGCAAGGAGGGATATTGGGCCAGTGCATCCCCCGCACTCCACATATCCCATGTTCTAAATGTCAACAACAAGGTCTTTGGGGCTCTGACTATCCTAGATCCCATAGGAGGCCTATGGCCAGGGAACCCTCCGACCTTCTGGGCATGGCAATCGAAGATTGACAGAGCCTTGGTTCCTGTCCCTGGCTATAACAATCAATACACAGGAACCCAGGGTGCAGATTCAGGTGGATAGGCACAAGGTTGACTTTCTGCTTGACACCAGGGCTACCTTCTCAGTCCTGACAGAATTCTGGGGGCAAACAGTGCCTTCCACCTCTCCTATTGTCGGGGTAGGAGGAAAGACCATCTATCCAAAAAAGACTCCCCTATTACTCTGTTCCATAGACAACTTCCCATTCTCTCAGACATTCCTAGTTATGCCCCAATGACCAGTTCCTTTGCTTGGCTGAGATATTCTCTCTAAATTCAATACAACAATCAACATCCGGGATCCTGGCATCACTCAGGCCCCAGAATCAGCCTGTTCATCTTTTCTAGCCCTTTTGGCAGAAGACTGGCCATTCTGCTCCACTTGTAAGGCTGATATGAAACATCATACTAAAAAGGACCCCTTACCTACTGTCGCGACCCCTTGCCCGCAAGGAAGACGCAACTCAGGAATCTTCTTTCAGCAGTTTATTCAGGCCCTTGATATTTCTTCTTCTCTCTCTCGGATGCCCCTCCCAGCCTTAATAAAGCATCTCAAGCCCCAATGCGAAGCTGCCACATGGAGCTTTCTCATAGGGTGGTGAAAAACCATGCGCCAACTCTCCCAAATAAGGAGTTGTTTGTCACAGACCACAGCGGAGCCAGCGCCATCTTGTAATGGCGACCATAGTCTGCAGAAACGGCAGAAGCGGCTCACCACAGTTCCCCCTTTCTGTTTTCTTAAAACAATACAGGCGAGAGTAGAGGTCCTATCCCACTGTGCAGAAGTGGCTGCATAGTATGGCTCAGTCCTAAGGAGGGCCCTTCCCCAGATCTGAGGCCATATCAGCCGACGCCTTTTTTCGTGGGGCGGGGCGTGGATGCGTCTAACCCGCATGCAATAGGACATGCTCTCCTTGAGGTCCACGTCAAGGATCACTCAAGTGCAGTGCCTTGCCTCGCATCCTGTATCGTGACGATGGTGGACGAAGGGGGATAGCTGAGGCTGAACTATGGCTGTTTATAACGACAAACAAGTTGACAGCACCCTGAAAGAAAGGCACGGACTTTAAGGCGATAGAAAAGCACTAGTGTGGAAACCCATCTGCGTGCAATGGCAGTAAGACCGGCAGAGTGCAAGGGCTTTCCAACACTAAGAGAATAACAAGGAAAGTCATGTCGATCCCAGTGCAATGTTATAATAACTTGGGGTGTAACGACCATGTCAAAGGTTTACTGTTTAAGATGCGCAAGCCAGACTTGAGGTGAGTTGCCATTTTCTAAAGCTGCAAGAGCTTGTATGATCATAGCCTTATCGTGAGCACTGCGGGCCTTAAGGCGACAGAGAAACCACAAACAGAGGAACATACCGAAGCAACACATTGCACCAAAAATGCCTACCCCCACCCACTCTTTGAAGAAGGAAAAAGCAGAAGATATCCAATCGGTGAATTGACCCAAAGTCACGGGATCGACACGGGTACTGTTCAAGACAGCTATCTGGGTTAGTTGAGACTGGATCATGTCTTCCGCTGCCATGGACCAATTTCCGGCCAAATATTCACCAATGATGCGGGAGGCATTCCTGGAATCATTAAATCTGACAGAGGTTATGCATAAATGTGCACGTTGGTCAACACAACCCAAAAGCACCAAGTCAGCCAATTCTTCTACCTGAGCTTGGAGTAAATCTATTCTTTGGTTGGTAGCTAAAATACCTGACAAAATATGTTGATTAATTGTATTTTGGGATTCAAGTATGGTGGAAGTTTGTTGAACAATTTGATTAATGGTGGCAGCAGTTTGTACTTGACTGGCCATGGCCACTCCGGCCGTAACCGCTGCAGCAGCAGACACTGCCACAGCTGTCACTATAGCTACCGTAATTCCAAAATCCCTGTGGACTCTAAGTAGCTCAACAATGGGGAATTTATCTGGGTCCACAGTGACTGGGATTGGGACAAAAGTTGGAATTTTCATAACCACTGCTACAGTCCAAGAACCATTCCAACACTCAGATAAGAGACAGGTAACATTAGAACAATCCAGCATCCCCGACGAGGTGTCATTAGCCAAAAGGAACAAGAACGGGGATTGGACACAGACCATTGCAGGGGGCAATGTGGCATTATATAGCAGAGAGTTGAACGAAACAGATGTAAGTCTATTACCTCGTTCACTCTCCCTAACAGTGCCAGAAACATTAGCCAGCCAGCTTTTGGCTCCCAGCAATTGAGCCAATGCAGAAATATCGGCTGAAGCCCCCTTCTCATTGGAAATCAGCCATTGAAACCAGGACCAACCTACTCCTGTAGAGGAGTTGGCACTGTTGTTAAAGTTATAAACATGCCTCTTAAGAGAGGGGGAAAGGGAGAAACCCTTAGCAACTTGATGTTTCTCCCAAGAATGATCCTGACAAGGCATAAATGTTGGGGGGAAACCAAGATTAGGGGTACAGTAAGGGGAGGCCTTGAAATGAGTGGCATTGTAAGTACTATTAGAAGAAGGAGGCACTGGGATTAGTACCTTGGAGATAATAGCCAAGGTAGTTATGTTTAAAGCAGAGCTATTTGCAGGGGTCCCTGAGCCTGATTGCTTCCCCGAAACTACTTGGCTCAGTATGGCACTGATAATGCTCCCTGAGACCTGACTGGACAGCAATGGGTCCTCCCAGTTAGTCAAATTTTTGGTCTTAAGGCTGATGCAATTAGCGTTTCCAAGGCTGAAACAAAAAACTCCTGTGAGATTAACTTGAGATTGATTAAAACTGCTCTCCATGTCCCCTCTAGGAGAGGCACAGGGAGCAGACATCTCACATGAGGTAGAGAAAAGAGTGGGGAGGACACTAGAATTACCATGAACCGGCATCGGCATTGGCCAAGCCCGTGCCACTGCCCACCACTGCATTGGTGTCGTCTGTGCCATTGGCACCAGCACCAGAACCAAAGCACGTAGCAGAGTGAAGATCCTCATCACGGGATTGCTGTGGTATCTCTTGTTGCTGGTCGGTTGATGTCAAGACTCTTCTTGTCAGGCGTTCAGGGACCCACAACGGTTCCGTGCGATCCTGGGGAAAAACACATACAGATCCTCGCGCCCATGTTAGCATGGGGTCGGGGCCGTTCCATTGGCCCGTAAGAACATCCTTCCACTTAACATAGCCAATCACAGAGGGCTGAGGGGACACATGTCTATCGGCCACAGAGCGACCATGAATATCCAAATTCAAAAAATTAATGGTAAAGAGAGCTAAGGACAGGCGTTCTTTAGGAGTGTGTTCAGCTCCTATTCCTCCTTTTTGTTTTTGTAAAGTTTCTTTTAAGGTGCGATGAGCACGCTCAACAATGCCTTGTCCTTGAGGATTGTAAGGCAGACCATGAGTAAGTTGCACTCCCATGGTAGAACAAAAGGATGTAAATTGTCTGCCAGTATAAGCAGGTCCATTATCAGTCTTAAGGGATGCAGGAGCACCCCATGCTGCCCATGCTTCTAGGCAATGA